ATTAGCGATAAAAAAAGAAAAGTATGTGTATGTACAGGATGAATCATAAATAGTTATCTCCAGAAAGTGGGGTTCAAGGTAAAAATTTTTTCTTCCTTTTATTTTTTTTCCTGTCTACTTTTTCTACAATGCATATTATTCTTGCATTAATAAAGCTATTTTATTTTTAAAGAATATAGAATAATTAAAAACAAAGTCCTTTGCAGCAATGCAACGATTCCGTGAAGGTGCTTATTCTAGTTTTGAGTCTTCAGGCATAACTTGCTAATAACTCATCCTCAGAGTACAGAAACGATCATCAGAAATGAAATAAAAACTAATACTATACAGCCACTTTAGTCAATAAATACACGAAAAACACCATCTTTCACCATTTCCTTCAGGGAGAGAACGACCCTATCCTACTTTCAATACCCAGGGGCCAATAATCAGATAAACCTGCCAGAGACAACTCAGAACAAAGCTGCCCTGGCAGATTTCTTACCCAACTAGTGGGGCCCTTCTAATTAAAAAAACAAACGAACAAAACAAAAACAATCAAACGAAAAACCCAGATCTCTTTAACAGTTACGAATAGTTGGGGTTTACATTCTCTGCTAGAAACTGTCAGCAGCCAGAATCGGCTGCGCTGACTTAATCACAGGTGTGATTCAGCACTCACGCAGGAGGAACAGCTCCGCCTCTGAGTCGCCTCCCCAGGGCGTCCTTACTAAACTGCTCTCCAGCTAGAGCCACATCAGGCGCGGCTGTTCCTAACTAAGACTGTTTTTATTCTCGTGCCCCTCTGACCCAGAAAGAATTTCCCAACAAGCCCACTTACCATTGTTGTTGGCAATTAGTGTGACGAGAGTCTTCTTTGTACTGTCGCTGTTCTGTGCCCCGCTGCTACTAACGGTGGTGGATGTAGAGAGGTGGCCAGCAACAGAAGCATGGGCAGCGATGGGCACTGGGGCCGCGGCTGGCTGCTGGCTCACGGACACTGTGGGGAAGCGGAGGTACGGTCACTTGGAGGCAGGGACAGATGACAATGAAGGATACTGTTGTAATCTTCCCTCTTCATCTTGTAGGTCTCCTGCTTTATTCAGAAATCCAACTGTTCATCTGGTTTCTCCTCCTCCTTGTCCCTCTCTCCACCAATAAGATGCAATGCATTCTTTGTCTCAAATTTCCTGATTAAGTTAAACCACGAGCTCACGGAACCAGGATTTTAATGTACTGTTTATACAACACAAGTAAACCACAACTGATATTCCTAACCATGCACAGAAAGCCGGCAACAAGACCTTGCATTCTGCCCTGTTTCAGCCCAAAGCAATGCTATCTTCAGGTCTCAAAACAAGGAAGAGAAAAACAGAGAGCAACAGGTATAATTTGGGGGGGACTACCACCCACTTTCTGAGTTCAGGGCAATCTAGAACTTTACCCTGCAACATCGCCTTCTTGAAAGAGAAGCTAATAAGCCTAAGTTTATAAACCGTCCATGAAGGCAGACACAAAGCAAATTCTCACAGCTCACAAATGAAACCAAGTTCAAGTGAAAGAAGAAAGAACGGGCAAAGCCCGAGACTACAGGACCCTGCTTTGACCGGGTCCATAAACGAGCAGACACTCACCAGCACTGCGCTCTGGGTCATACGGCATTTGGTAAGAGGGCTGCTGGATGTTTAGTAAACATCGGTTAACACGACTCTCAATGTTTTTATTGACTCAAATACACTGTTTCTAGCGTTACCCTAGAGGAAACTGAAGCCCTTACAGGTTAGAGCGGGGAAGATAAAGGTCGCACCAGTGCCGTGAGGGGCCATCCCTGGATCTTTCCCACCTCACGCTTTCTCAGCAAAAATGCCATTCAACTGAGTTGATTTAAACACTGTAAAACCAAAAGAGTTTCTGTTACCTGTAGTAGTTTTATCCACTGAATTATAATCTTCGACTACAGAGTCCTCGATGACATCACTGATTTTCTGCCACGGCTCCAGCTCCTCCTCCTCACACTCCATGAACAGGTCGGTGTCCGCCATGCTACGGGAAGAGACATTAAATAAGATGCTGACCTCAGAATGGAAGAAATTGTTTTATACAAAATACAGAATCACATTCTTGAATTCGCTGGTAACCTACCCCTTGTGCTCCCTCTACCATTTCCCCAACCCTCCTATTTCTGAGGATCCAGAATTATAACCTTTATTCTTGAAAAAAATTTGTGGAAGAATCCACAGCAAATTCTTCAATAATTAGGATTATAAAAACTGAATCTGTAATACCTAGGGCTGGGATTAGGGTATGATGAATCATGCAAATGCAGGGTTGGATCCTGTCTTTATTAAAACTGGTATTTCATTATGAATTTTTTGCATTAATATTGATCTTTGAAAAATGATGTTAAAACACTATCAATTTTTATTACTGAGCCTTTTTGTAATCTCTTAAACTTTGTACCCAAGATGAGAACCTCACTTGTCACACTCTAGTCCCATCCCTACTACTGCTTTGTACTCCACCATGATTTTGGAGTTGACCTTTAACTTGAAACCTTACATGCTTCTTTTAAGAATAAAGCCTACATCTCTGCAATGCAAACAAAAAGCTATTGCTATTGCCCTCAAAATCGGCTGACTAAAGGTCAATTTCTTTGTCTTGGAATGAGAGTAGCACCACTGCTCAATGTTCAAACAAAACCGTTGAATGCAAAGGTTCTGCGTGCCCTTAGTATTTCGGTTAAAATTTCCACCGCATCCCAAGCCAAAAAGAAAACGCAACCACCAACCATACAACTGACGGCATTACTTTGTAAGATGCCCAACAGATGGCGTAGTTTCCTTGAAAATTTAAAACACCCAGGCAATGGCCCAGCGAGTTAGCAAGCCACAGCCAGGTAGGTGTCCACGGTTTAATAGGTAAAGTGCTTAACTTGACTGCAAGTGGTTTCTAACGTCCTACTGTAATTACTTCCGTCTTCCCAAAACCACAGAGGGAAGAAGGAATGAGCAAGGAAAGAAAAAGATCTAAAGTATCAACTTAAATTTTCTTAGTTTCATGTTTAATTTACGTGTATAAAAAAATGCTAGACAAACTGAATTAAAAAGAAACCAAATCCATCACAGTCATTCTTTGAGCCAAGACTACACAACACATTCTGTATGTTGCAGTTTAGTTCCACAGAAAAAGATAACACTCTCACCTTTTCCCCTGACTACTTAATTTTATACACTGTTCTCTGTGGAGAGCCCATGGCCAACAGATGACTAACAAAGGATTGACGCAGAAACATCAAACACCCGGCAGAACGAGTCTCAGCCGAGTCTCAGCCGTGGATAACCTCCACAGATGGTTTTCAAGGACCTTTCAGCTCTCACCAGCTGCAAGCAAACTCTCTACACAAATGCTGAGCAGTCTGTACAAAACTTTCCTTCAGCTTTAAGAAGTAGAAATCCATGAAATAATGAATTTTAATAATAGTGAAAGTTTCTTCCACCTGACATCAAACTGTTATACCTCCCATGAAAAAGACACTCTGAGAAACAGAAAGAGTGGAAAGGGTGGACTTTGGAAAGACAGCAGAGAAGGATGTTTGCGTTCTAACTTGTTTTTATCAGGTGAGAAAAAAAAAACTCCTCAGGTAAATGCTTTGTCAAGACAACCAATGTAAATTAAAAGATTCCGAATGGAAAGAAAATTCAACTTACGGACTATTTTTCAAGTTTTTTTTTTACAGAGAACGAGAGGGAATTAACCAATAAGGCTTGCGAACCTAGAAAATAATTAACTCTGCAACTGAGCATACTTCACAGACTTACACCCAAAACATCTCTGAAAGACAGAAAAACTAAGTTTTCAGTTAGTCCTCAATTCTGATCTAGACTCTTACCTCAGAATGTGATCATTCTGTTCATTCCAGCACCTACGGCTCAGAGTCCAAAAGATTAACTCTACTGAAAAGACAGGCCACAACAGAGGTATCAACCTAAATACCTCACAGACATTAAAAATGGAAAAATGCAAATTGAGCATCCTGCCTGTAGTTTTCCAGTTATTAAAAAGAAATCGTCACTAATACGATGAAATGCTGTTCAACATCTCCACCAAGATGCTCAAGAAACGCCCTCATTCTCTGCAGTCTTTCAAGTGGTCCATGGCCTTTCAACTACTTTTGATCGAAGGAGACAGGAATTACCATATATGCAGTACTAAAATGTACAGATCTCCCCAAACTATCATTCTATGCATGTTTAACCTCCTTCCAAACCAAACCTTTAACTTAATTTCTCACAAGAAAAAAAAACACAAAAACTTTTTCTCTTGCCTATTATTTTGCTATCAAAGATAAATGTACCCACAGACTCAGATACCTCTCACACTAAAAAACAAACAATTCAATCCTTACTCAAATTAGAGTCATTTTCATTTCTTCTGAGAAACTGCCAGGTAAAAATGTGCATTTGAAAAATTAAAGGCCAGCAAACGGGAACACAGTGCTGCATCAAGAGGAAAACTTGGATGGACAGTAAATTTAAGATTCATAATGTAACCAAACTTCCATCATGTTACAACTATGTGTCTTTAAATCAAGACGTAGTGATTCCTTTCTCTGCTATTTTATTTTATTTTTTAATGCCTACAGCACCTGGTCTTCCTAGGTGGTCTCTCATCCAAGTACTAACCAGGCCCAACCCTGCTTAGCTTCCGAGATCAGATAAGATCGGGCACATTCGGGGTGGCATGACTGTAGACTGTTTTCTATTTTAAAATGAGATATAAATTTTAATTATAAATAGCAGACGTGTATCCATCATCCAGCTTCAAACATTATCAACTCAAAACCAATCTTGTTTCAGCTATGCCCTCTCTCTTCCCTGTTATTTTGAAGCTAATCTCTAATATCACATTCATAAATATTTTGGCATGTAGCTCTAAAACATGAGGACTTGAAAAGATTATACACCAAAAAAAAAATAAAATCAGTATCATTACGTGCCTAAAAAACTGATAGTCTCTTAATATTAACTATCTTAGTCAACATTCGAATTTTAAATTCTAATACCAACTTTCAAACGTTTATCTGAATTAGGATCCAAATAAGGATCCATAGTAATGATTATCTAATAAGTTTCTTAAGTCTCTCGACATATATCTTCATCTTTTTTCCCCTGGCAATTTGTATGCCTCTGTCCCCTGTATACCCTGAAACTGACGGCTGGCGCTAAAGGCGTGATTAGATGCAGGCTGAACCCTCTCCCACCAACACCACGTTTAAGGGGGGTATTTTCTTACATCAGGAGGCGTGCTCAAAGTCTGGATCCAGTCATTCTAAATCTATCATCCTTCCTTAACTGGAACACTTCTCTTAAAAAAACAAAAACAGAAACAAATCTACTATTTGGTCACCCAGTGATGCAGTTCATAAAGCGAACGTCTTGATTCTTCTGTATTGATTCTTGCCCTTTATTTTACCAGTTTTCAAAACAATGAGTCACTGTACAAGCATTTCTCTAAAGTGACCAATAGCTTGTTCTTAAACTATTGTTATATCACAGACTTAAACACACTTGACATATCTTGATCCACTGCAGTTATCTTTACTGATAACTCAAAGTGTGCTATTTTGGCCCAGAGAGAACTTCTCCAGTCGGCTCCTGAGTCCTGGACAGAACCCTTTCTAGTGTCTGATAAAACCCTCGCTATCTGATATACAAGATGCTCCAGGCTCATCTCACACATTTCCTGCTCCAGACCTAGAATCAGCCATTTTTCCAAGGAGCTCACATTCCTTTTGGCGAGGAATGCTATTCCAAAGCCACAGTCTAGATGCTAGGGGCCTTTCTGCTCATTTTAAATAGAAACTTATCTCCATATCAACCATTAGTCAGCTATCTTCAATTTCACTCCTATGTCATTTGGCAGAAAAATTCCACATCCACAAATATTTGTCTTAGAAACTTAAAATTATATTTCCCCTGAAATTCTTGAGCTGTTTCAGTCTTATATTTACTTAAAAGTTCTCATTACTTCCTCTCTTACCCTGTCTCAATTGTATGTATTTCCTTTCCCTTCCTGTAACAAGATGCCTAGATCACTTTCCTGATTGGCAGAATTTTTACAGAGTTTAAAATTTTTAAGGGCAATCAAAAGTTAACAAAGAGGACACACTTCGTTTAATCAAGTTCTTTAGCAAGGAACTACTCTGAAAAACTCTCTCTCCTTGAATGTCAAGATATAGACATGGATCACTTCAAAGATACCAAATTTCTCAACTACTCCTAACAGGAATTTTATCCACAGCACACAGCCAACAAAGTTGTTTTCCAAGCAAACTGGGAGGTAGGGATGGGGAGTAGATAAAGCGGAAGGCTTACAACTGAAGGGCTCATTTCTACCTTCGGCAAAACTTCCAATAGAGCTAAAAACTTTCATCGCCTTCCCGTGTTCTCCAACACACAGCAGGCACAGGCCGAGTTGGACAGCACACCTGCAGAGGGGACCTGGACTCCATAGTTATACGACGGGGAACCCAGTGCATCAAGGACATCACGAACGCATCTCCACACCTGCCAGTGGGTTTTACTCAACTCGGTGATACTGGATAAGGGTACTCTGGCCCCAGAAGACGTCTGGCGACTTCTGGAGACATCTTTGGTAGTCGCATCTAGGGGAGGAGGCGGGGGAGGATGCTCCTCGCATCTATCCAGTGGTAGTGGCTGGGATATTAAACATCCTACACTGCTCAGGCCCGCCAGGGACTTACCCGGCTCAAAATGTCAACAGTGCCAAAATGAGAAACACTGATCAAACAGAATCCATCTTCTGAAGGGGAAAACTTTTTAAAAAATCATCCCACATTCTATCCATAAAGAGCTATCATAACTTTTTAAAATACTTATCCTTTCTGCAACAGAAAAGTGGGGCCGGGTCTTATAAATAGTTCAAATGGTTACATCTTCCCCAGTAAAAACATTTCTATAAAACTCATATACATCTAGTTTGCGTCGCCCTACAATCATCTCCCAGTGAAACTTGATTTTATC